TAATAAATATTTTTTTCAAAATTATGTTAAAAAAAAGTACTACAAATCACAATAGCTAACAATTTAAAATAATTTTAAAATCATATAAAATTTTCAATAACTTCTCAAATTCTATACTATGACATAATTTATTTATATATATATATATATATTGGGCCCCGTGCTGGCACGGGGTCTTATATCTAGTATATATATATATATAAATCAAGAGACTAATTACTTTTTGTTCATATTGTCCTTGTATTTTATTTGGATGATTGTTATGTATCATTTCATAATATATTATATTGCAGTGTATTGGATTATTTTTTAATAGATATATCATTTAGATAAATTGTATCGTTTGTTGTCATTACATAATATCATACATCAATAATTTAAAGGATAAACCTACAAGGAACGTAGGGTACATGATAAAACTACTATAAAACGGTAGGATAAAGAATAAAATAGAATTATTAAATAATAAGTAAAGACAAAATGAGAGGAAAAAATTAAGGTAACGACGCAATCGCACTAAATCGATAGTAACACAAAATGAGACTTTTTATCGTTACATAACGATGAATTTAACGATACAATATATAAAATTCAAGTAACAATCAAAACAAACGTTGTATTTAAACTAACAATACAATATAATACAATACAATATAAATACAATGGTATTAGATAATTACATGAAGTAGTAGTAGCCAAATTTAGAGTTCCAAAGTTTCATTAATAAAATCAATTTAGTAAAATACACTTTTAATTAGAAAAATTCTTAATATATTACTATATATAATAAGTGGGAATATCTACTACTTAGCACATGATAAGTGTTGGATGATATGTGCTTAGATAGTGTTGTACATTCTTCTTTTATGGTTGTACCTTTAAAATTTATATTATTGGACAATTTAACACAATTAATTACCTACTACTTTATTAGCCGAAAAGTTTGACCTCATTTGGGCTCATTTATTATTTATATGTTTTCAATTTTCAATATATGTTGTCTATCTAATTCTTTTTTTCAACCTTTTATTTTAAACTTCTTGAAATTTAATTACCTATTTATTACTCTCTCTATGCACTTTTAATTGTTATGATTTCCTTTTTAGAGTCAAACTATAAGAATTTTAACTAATATTTTACAATGTGTTTTTTCATCATATTCATAGGCAAAAAATTACAATTTATAGTACTTTTTGTATAGATTTTGCATATT